CCTCTCCTCACCCTCAAGGAACCACCAGTGGGTCCACTTTCTATCTCTACAAGTTAGTTGTGTTTTCTAGAATCTTCTCCAGCATGTACTCTTTTTGTCTGAGTTCTCTCGGCATAATTATTTGAGAGTCATCCTTCTGTTGTGTCCACCAGTAGTTAATTCCTTTTCGTTGCTGAGAGGGGTTGCAGTGCCTGGATGTACCACAGTTGGTTTATGCATTCACCTGCTGGTAGACATTTGGGTTGTTTCCAGTTTGGGCTGTTCCATGTCAAGCTGCTGTGAGCATTTGGTACAAGTGTTTGTGTGGACAAGCGCTTTTATTTTTCTTGAGTAAATACTGGAGTGGAATGACTGGATCAAATGGGTGGTGTATGTTAACTTTTTAAGAAGCTGCCGAACTTTTCCAAAGCTATTGCTTTATTTTCCACATCCTCACCAACATCTGGCATGGTCAGTCCTTTTAATGTTAGCTAATAGGTGTGAGCTGGTATTACATTGGGGTTTTAATTTGTATTTCTGTAATGGCTAATAGTATTGGGTATATTTTCATGTGTTTGCCATTTGTGTATCTTCTTTGGTGAAGTATTTGTTCAACTCTTTGCTCATTTTTTTCTTTATTGGGTTGTTTACTTTCTAATTGAATTGGAGAGTTCTTACATATTTTGGACTCAACTCTTTTGTTAGAAATAGTTTTGAAAATACTTTTTCCAGTCTGTGACTTGTTCTTAATTTTAGTTTTGTAGTTTTAGGTTTTACATTTAGGTTTATAATCCATTTTGAATTAGCATTTCCATGTGGTGTGAGAATTAAAGTTTTCTTTTGGGCATATGGGTATCCAGTTGTACAATCTGTATTTGTTGAAAAGACTATTCTTTCTCCACTCAGTTGCCCCTGCACCTTTGTCTAAAATCCGTTGCCCCACGTGTGTGGGTCTGTTTTGTGCTCTTTTCTTCCATTGATCTGTTTATCTTGGCATCAGTACCACACTGGACTGGTTACCCAAACATCTTAAAGTCAGGCAGCCTTGTTAAGGCTGTTTTGGCTATTCTGGATCTTTTGTATTTTCACATGGAAATTTAGAATTCTCTCGTCAGTTTATACAAAAAGCCTGCGGGAATATTGGTTGGGGGTCCATTGAATCTGTAGGTTAGTGTGGGAAGAATTGCCATCTTGACGGTGTTGAGCTTTTCCATTCATGAACACCAGGCTCTGTCTCCCGTTTGTTGGGGTCTTCTTTCTCTCAGCAGTGTTTTGAGGTTTTCAGTATATAGGTCTTGCATATCTCCTGTTAAATTTACTCCTAAGTACTTGCTATTTTGATTGCCATTATAACCAGTATTTAACCCATTGTACGCCATAAGTGTCGGACCTTCCCCACACGCCACTTGCGTCTATAAAAAAAAATGTTTTCCCTAAGTGGCAGCCCTGACCAACTTTAAAACCATTTTTTGTGAGAATTTTCAGCTGAAAATATTCAAGAACACCCTAATTGTGAGTAATATACTTATTTTTATAATACTCATTGCAAATTGATTTTTTTTATTAAGTTCAAAATATTGTGACGTGTGGGGATGGTTTCTGTTTTGGACACATGGCAGTTAAGTGGTTAAAAAAATTCAATTTCTGGTTTTCCTGATATATGGAAAGATGATTGATTTTTGGCATATTGATTTTTTTTATCTTGCCATCTTGCTAAGTAACTTATTGTTCTGATAGTTTTCTTACAGATTCCGTATGATTTTCTTTACAGATGATTATGTCTATAAGTTAATGACAGCTTAACTCCTTCCTCCCCAATCTGGATACAGTTTATTTCTCTCTCTTGTTCTATTGCACTGGCTAGAACTTCTAGGGCCATGTTGAGTTGTTTTGGGAGTAGGCATATTGTTCCTGATGATCCAGTGTTTCTTGACATTTTTTAATGCCAGTGTCATATTTTTTGATGGTGGTCCTGTTAACATTTTAGATTTGCTGCCAATGCCCCACCATCACGTTTAACATGATCAAACACTACTTTCTGATATAAATTAACTACAGAACAGGGTTTTTCTAAATTGTTCCACTTATGTTACTGATTACTGAAACTATTTAAGTTTAAATAGTTTTAAAATAAAATATTTTATTTTATTTAAAATAGAAGTGTTGGTCTGTATGTTAGTATGTTTTATACCGTAACTTAGTAATAAGTCAGGGGGGGGGGGGTTGTTGATGTAGAAAATCAATCGTCTCTTTAATATCATGGAAGGAAAATGGCTGGATAATGGTGCCTGATTGGTTCAGGTGAGGCTTATCCATAGCACAGCTAGACCTCCGTGCGCAGTCTCTGCGCTCACCCATGTGCCTGGCTTGTTGTTTTCTCTCTTAGGTTAATAGTCCTCGGATGGATCTGACCCTCGCTGAGCTCCAGGAAATGGCATCTCGCCAGCAGCAGCAGATAGAGGCCCAGCAGCAGATGCTGGCGACGAAGGTAACGTCTTGTGTGAAGAGCCTGCCAGGCTGCCATGCCAGTGTGCGCGCCGGGCTGTTGACAGTGCACCCTCATTGTGACGCCAGTTACCTCACAGACAGGACCGTGCGCTCTGAACCCCAGGTCACCTGCTGGGCGGTGCCTTCTCCTCTTCACTCCAGCTTTTGGTGGAAACCCTTGATTATCCCATTGCTCAGGATCTTCCTGACCGTGCGCTCTGAACCCCAGGTCACCTGCTGGGCGGTCCCTTCTCTTCACTCCAGCTTTTGGTGGAGACCCTTGATCATCCCATTGCTCAGGATCTTCCTTCCCCTGATTCTGATGAAAAGACAAGCTGTGTCGGTGTCAGTGAGAGAGGGCGGTGGTAGGAACCTGGAACGTGGCCAGCAGGAGCTGTGGGCTAAGTTTGCCCTGAGTCGTGGCTTCAAAGAGGAATGACCCATCTACTGATGCTAACGCTTCCCCATGACTGTCACACCGGCTCCCTGCTGGCTCTCCTGCCAGCCCGGCCTCCAGGCTGGAGCAGGTGGCAGCAGACGCTGGGAAGGGCTCTCGAGGAAACACTTTAGCCTCCGCGGGTCGCGCTGTCTCGGTCTGCAGTTGTAGCAAGAAGCAGCTATAGGCAGCTGAGGGGTGGCCGTGTCCCAGGGAAACTGCAGGCGGGACTGGCCGGGGGCTGTGGTCTGCCCGCCCCTGGCCTAATCTCCCAGGATCCGCAGCTGGCCCGTCCCTCAGTGACCAAGTCCCCTGCAGCGGGGCCGGCAGTGGCGGCTTGACAGCAAGTCACGTGACGGCCAGGATTCTGGAAGGCAGTGCTCACCACACCCACGTCTCTGCGGGATTCCCCCTGGGCTTCCTCTCCAGGCGGACCCGGCTTTTTCAGAATCATGCGTCTCGTTGCTCCTCACACTTCAATACGCACGTAGCTCACCCAGGCCTCTTGCGAAAAATACAGGCTCTGATTCAGTAGGTCTGGGTTGGGTCTGAAATTTTGTGTTTTACAAGCTCCTAGGTGACGCTGTGAGGGTATCATTCCTTGAGTAGTAAAGACATCAATTCAAATAAGAAGGTTAACCGAAGAAACCTCTCGTCTTACTTTGAAACGATTTCTGTGTGACTTATATGTTTTAGGCATTTTGTGACGTTTACCCTTCATTATAGATTGTGTAGCTCTATCAGTTTACTTAAAGTATTGAATATTATGGAAATAAGATGTAAAGCTGCACAGTGCAGTTTCCTACAGGGGGTAGGTAGCGTGTTTATTGAGTGTGTATTAAGGATGTAAGGTACAAAGAGGGTTACATTTCACGTTTCATGTAATCCTCACGGGGCCCCGCGAGGTAGTTACTGATCATCTCGTGGATGAAGAAACAGACTGTGTACGCGGTGAGCTTATGTGAGCGGCCGCGGTCTCATAGCTAAAGAGTGACGAGCTCAGGTCTGAACCCGAATTTGACTCCACAGCTTATCACTTAACAGCTTCCCTAGCCGGCCCCCCTTCAGGAGCTCCCTCTAACATTGTAGCTGCGGTGCGTGAACACGGGGTCAAGGGTCACTGCTGCTTGCTGCACAAGAACCACTTGGATTAGGAATCCTCCTTTTTGGATCTTACCCCAAGGGATTCTGGGGGTGGGCCCCGCTGGTCTGATGGCGCGTACAGGGCAGAGCAGTGCGCTGGTACCCCTCAGCCCCGGCGTCTCGGGGTTCTGGTGAGATTATTTGGGGGTTGGTGGGATCCCTGCTGACAGTGACGCGGCCTGCTGGTGGCTTTCACCTTTAGGAACAGCGCTTGAAGTTTCTGAAGCAGCAGGATCAGCGGCAGCAGCAGCAGGCTGCGGAGCAGGAGAAGCTCCGGAGGCTGAAAGAAATCGCCGAGAACCAGGAAGCGAAGCTGAAGAAAGTGAGAGCGCTCAAAGGCCACGTGGAGCAGAAGAGGCTGAGCAACGGGAGGCTCGGTGAGTGGCCCCGTCAGCGTGTCTCGGCTCCAAAGGCTGCACGTTGAACACATCGGGGTAGAAAGTCTGTATAAACTTGTAGTAAAGAGGAATAAGATGAGCCTCTGTATGTAGATCACTTTAAAAGAAGGTTTTGAAAGTAAAATTCACTGTAACTTTGATGTCACTGGCTCCTCTGAATTGAATTGAGTTGTTGAATGTTTAGACAAGTTTCTAAAATTACCTTTGGAAAACGTATTTGCAGTCAAAATATTTTTTGACTGCAAATCAGATGAAGGCAAGGATTTTTAGTCATATAATAGCTCCATCAGTTATGTGACCATTTACATTAAAATGTTAGTGATTTAAAAAAATTAAATCTTTATTGTTGAAAGTATTACACATGTCCCCTTTTCCCCCCATTGGCCCCTTCTAGCCCACCCGTCCCCAGCCCCAGGCCTTCACCACCCTGTTGTCTGTGTCCATGGGTTATACATATATGCACACAAGGTCTTTGGTTGATCTCTTCCTGCCCACCCACCTACCTCCTCCTTCCCTCTGAGATTCCACAGTCTATTCTATGCTTCTGTGTCTCTGGATCTATTTTGTTTATCAGTTAATTTTATTCATTAGAGTCTACATATGAGTGAGACCATGTGATACTTGTCTTTCTCTGACTGGCTTGTTTCACTTAGCATAATACTCTCCAGGTCCCTCCATGCTGCCTCAAAGGGTAAGAAAGCCTTCTTTTTTACTGCTGCATAGTATTCCATGGTGTAAATGTACCACCACTTTTTTGTCCACTCATCTACGGATGGGCACTTGAGCTGTTTCCAGATCTTAGCTATTGTAAATTGCGCTGCTATGAACATAGGGGTGCATACATTCTTTCTGATTGGTGTTTCATGTTTCTTAGAATATATTCCTAGAAGTGGGATCACTGGGTCCAATGGCAGTTTCATGTTTAATTTTTTGAGGAAACTCCATACTGTTTTCTATAATGGTTGTACCAGTCTGCACTCCCACCAGCAGTGTAGTAGGGTTCCCTTTTCTCCACATCCTCTCCAGCACTTGTCGTTTGTTGATTTGTTGATGGTTTCTTTTGCTGTGCAGAAGCTTTTTATTTTGATGTAGTCCCATTTGTTTATTTTCTCATTATTTTCCTTTGCCCTAGGACATGTATCTGTAAACATATTGCTATGAGAGATGTTTGAGATTTTGCTGCCTATAGTTTCTTCTAGGATTTAGAAAAAGATGCTTACTATAATTTCAGTCTTCCTGAACCTGTAGAGACTTGGGTTATACACATATGCACACAAGGTCTTTGGTTGATCTCTTCCCACCCACCCACCTACCTCCTCCTTCCCTCTGAGATTCCACAGTCTATTCTATGCTTCTGTTTTGTGTCCTAACATGTGGTCTGTCTTTGAGAATGATCCATGTGCACTTGAGAAGAATGTATATTCTACAGCTTTGGGATGAACTGTCCTATAAATGTCAATTAAATCTGATCCAGTGTATCCTTTAGCGTCACTGTCTCCTGGTTAATTTTTTGTCTGGAAGATCTATCCGGTGAAGTCAGTGGGGTGTTAAAGTCCCCTACTATGACTGCATTGCTGTCGACCTCTCCCTTAAAGTCCTCTAGAAGTTTTTTTATATAATTAGGTGCTCCTATATTGGGTGCATATACGTTTATCAGGGTCATATCCTCCTGTTGGATCAGTGCCTTTAGTACTGTGTAGTGACCTTTCTTGTCTCTTGTGACGCCTTCATTTTGAAGTCTGTTTTGTCAGATATGAGTGTTGCTACCCCATCTCTTTTTTTCTTTTCCATTTGCATGGAGAATTTTTTTCATCCATCCCTTCACTTTCATCCTGTGTGAGTCTTTTGTTCTGAAGTGGGTCTCTTGTAGACAGCATATAATTGGTTCATGCTTTTGTATCCACTCAGCTACCCCATGTCTTCTTATTGGGGCATTTAATCCATTTACATTTAAGGTTATTATTGGTAGGTATTTTTTTATTATGATTTTAATTTTTTATATCTATGCTTCTCACTCTCTATTTCTTCTCATTACAGCTGTCCCTTCAGCATTTCTTGCAGTGCTGGTTTGGTGGTGATCTCCCTTTATCCTTTTTTTGTCTGAGAAGGTCTTTATTTCACCATCTATTTTGAATTATAGCCTTGCTGGATATAGTAATCTTGGTTTCAGATCTTGCTTTTCATTACCTTGAATACGTCATGCCATTCCCTTCTGGCCTGTAGAGTTTCTGATGAGTAATCAGCTGACAGCCTTATGGGAGCTCCTTTGTAGGTAACAAATTGCTTTTCTCTTGCTGCCTTGAAAAGATTCTCTCTTTTCCTTTAAATTTTGGCATTTTAATGATGATGTGTCTGGGTGTGGGCCTGTTTGAGTATTGACCTATGAACCAGGAGACCACAGTCTGATTCCCGTTCAGGGCACATAGCCCGGGTTGCAGGCTCCATCCCCAGTAGGGGGCATACAGGAGGCAGCCGATCAATGATTCTCTCTCGTTGTTGATGTTTCTGTCTCTCCCTCTTCCTTCCTCTCTGAAATCATAATGAAAATATATTAAAAACAACAACAAAACACCTAGGTTAGCTCTAGGACACGTCTGGAAAATTCCTCTCCTTTTTGTTAGGAAGTTCACTGTGAAGCTGCTCGCTGGGAAGTGGTCCATTCTTACATTTCTTTTCAATGATTGTTGCTTTTTCTCCTCCTCTTTCCAGTGGAGGAAATTGAGCAGATGAACAGTCTGTTCCAGCAGAAGCAGAGGGAGCTCGTCCTGGCCATGTCCAAAGTCGAGGAGCTGACGAGGCAGCTTGAGATGCTCAAGAACGGCAGGATCGACGGCCACCATGACAACCAGTCCGCCGTGGCCGAGCTCGACCGGCTGTACAAGGAGCTGCAGGTACCCTGGGCTGCTGTGACGCACAACAGCCGCCTCCCCTGCCACACAGGTGGTCCTTCTGCGTGGCAGAAAGTGCTGGATTTCCACGTCTTTTCCTTGCAGTGGTTCTCAACCTTCCTAATGCCGTGACCCTTTAATACAGTTCCTCATGTTGTGGTGACCCCCAACCATAAAATTATTTTCGTTGCTACTTCATAACTGTAATGTTGCTACTGCTATGAATCGTCATGTAAATATCTGATATGCAGGATGTATTTTCAGGGGTCTTGACCTACAGGTTGAGAACCGCTGCTTTAAGGAGATGCAGGGGAGGAAGACCTAAGCCCCGACGCATCTAGAATAAACTGTCCAGTCCTTCGCACTGGCCAACAGAGGCAGTCCTCCGAGCCACAGCCCGTGGTCTCCACTGGACTAGAAACCTTGAGATGAGAAAGGGGGGCGGGCAGTGGGCAGGAGACCTTACACTTTTAGAAATTATGTAACAGTGCCCCCTGGGACTCCGTGTAAGAACTTTTTCTTCCTCCTCTTTGACTACCTTTTTTTGTTGTCCCCCGTTTTATTCAGTTAAGAAACAAACTGAATCAGGAGCAGAATGCCAAGCTGCAACAACAGAGGGAGTGTTTGAATAAGCGCAATTCAGAGGTGGCGGTGATGGACAAGCGTGTGAATGAGCTGCGGGACCGGCTGTGGAAGAAGAAGGCGGCGCTGCAGCAGAAGGAGAACCTCCCTGTGAGTGGGCTGCTGGCTGTGGGCAGCAGGAGGGGGGCGAGGCCAGCCCCGGGCGGTCAGTTCTCGGCAGCTGCTCCGTGGTCAGTGCTGGCTGTGCGCTCCGCAGAGAGGCGGTGCTCAGAGCTGCTCAGATGTGACCCATCTTCTTGTGCCTGTTGACGTTCCGACCTGCGTGGCTCCGGTTTTCTCGATAATACTTGTAATTAAGGGTTGGGGAGAGCTCATTGGTGCTTTTGTTTGGGAGTTTCTAGTAGACTCTGGCTAGAGCTGATGGTTAAACACGATGAACACTTCCCAGCCTTTTCTGAGCTGGATTCCATCTGCCTTGTGATGCTGAAGGACCTGTGCTTCCTTCGAAGGTTTCACCTGATGGGAACCTGCCTCCGCCAGGCGTGTCAGCGCCGAGTCGCGTGGCTGCCGTCGGTCCCTACATCCAGTCGTCCACCATGCCCCGGATGCCCTCCCGGCCGGAACTGCTGGTGAAGCCGGCGCTGCCCGATGGACCCTTGGCCATGCAGCCTGCGGAGGGGCCCATGAAAGTCCACACCCTGCCCAACATGCGATCTGGGGCCGCCGCGCAGACTAAAGGTAAAGCCCGTCACACGCACGTCCTGGCACAGCGCCTCCTCCCGTCCTCGCTGCTGCGTTTCCCAAGTGGGAGTTTTACAACAACGTCTTCCTGTCCCTGTTCGTGTTCAGATTCTAAGAATCCCCTGTATTCATTGCTGGGGTGATAGGGTTCTTAGCTCTGAGTGACACAGTTCTGGTCAGGAAGGGAAGCAGAATGTACTGCTTTGGCAAATCCGAAAACTGTATTGAATTCCTCCTTGTGAATAAGGAAACTGTGATCGGATGTTAGTAACTGGGAGCCAACTGTCTGTGTGAGAACACCATAGATGAATAAGGAAACTGTGATCGGATGTTAGTAACTGGGAACTGTCTGTGTGAGAACACCATAGTTGTGGTTAGTGGTGTTGACTTTGCAGAGCGCGAGGTGGTGAGTCCCCTGTTGGTAAGTCATGTTTATCTCAGATGTGCGTGTGCTTGAGTACCTGCCCGCTGATGATGCGAGGGTCAAGGTCAGCCTGTTGGGAGGGCAAGTGTGAGTAACAGGCTCCTGAGTTAGTGAGCTTTGCATCCCAGGTGGTCCTCAGACGCATGGGGAGGGGCTAGCGGAGGTCTGTAATGGGAGGAAGATGAAGGGAGAACCGTGGAAAAGGAGGGTAAACACGGGAGAAAAAATAACAGTATTGTCTCATTCCCCTAGCCACTATCATGTGCATGCATTTGCTCACTTAGTTAGTATTTTGCCGTAATTGCCACTGAAGCAGTGTGGCACCTCGTGAGTTTTTTGTAGATGTGCTTTTGTTTGGTTTCTGTAAGGAAAAAGAAAAGCTTTGAAACGTCAATCCTGGTGTAGGAAAATCCTGAATACACTGATTTGGGCAAGACTAGTCCAAGTTATGGCTTATTTTTATTTTTTTGCCTATTACAGTGCTTACTTTTGGTGTCGTTAGGGAGCCCTCGGCCTGCTAAATAGAAATCGTTTTCTGGGTGTGATGGTGACATTTTCTTACCCAGCGGAGAGCCATGTGTCCTTGTTGGCAGGCTTTCCACTTGCCACGATTAGTTTTAAATTGTTTGAGGGAGGGGGAACATTTTAAATTAGAAATATGCACCCTAACATTTTCTAAATAAGTTTGCTGGGATGGTTGACTCTGAAATTTAAAGCTGTTTTTTAGAGATTCCACTTCTTAGCAGCAAAGGAATCATTAAAACCTCTTTAGAACCCAGGTTATTTGTGGCTGCTTTTCTGTGTTCTAGGCTCTAAAGTCCATTTGCTCGGCCCCGACTGGAGTCCCCACGCAGACCTCTTCCCCAGCCAGGCCTCTGCCTCTGCCCCGAAAGGCGCCGGGAGTGCGCCCGACCCAGGTGAGGCCCGGCGCTGCTCCCAGCTTTCTGTTTGGGCTTCTCGGTGCCGGGAGTTCTTTTCAGGTGGTGGTTTCTAGAGTTAAAGGCAGGGGCGGGGGTTATTTGCAGATCACCCTTACTTAGCAGGGAACGAAGGCAATGCCGGCGTTGTCGTGTCTGGGTTATTTCTCAATCAACTTAATTTACAATTAGGGAAGCATTTCGTGAATGCAGGGTTCCAAAGAGATGGAGGAAGGAAACTGACACGTGAGTAAGAAGTTCTATTACAAACAGTTTGATTATCAGTGTGATTTCCTTTTTCCTGTTTTCTTTAGCTGATGATGGAGAGGTTCCGCCGAGGGAGAAGGAGAAGAAAGTGCGTCCCTTCTCGATGTTTGACACGGTCGACCAGGCGGCTGCGCCCCCTGCCTTTGGGTCCCTGAGGAAGAACCAGAGCAGCGAGGACATCCTGCGGGACGCGCAGGTACGGGGCGTGGGCACGTCCAGGGGTAGAGCCCCGCTGGTGTTAGAAGGGGTACAGGGCGAGGTGGGGGGGCAGGAAGCCGCAATGACACCTGGGAGGTTAGGAAACACGCAGCCTCTGTCCTTGGCAGCGAGTCTGTGTGCCGTGTCACACCGACAGGGGCAGCTGACCTACCCGCTTCTGGGCCGTAGTTCATGTGATTCTCTAAGAAACACGAGTGCAAAGGAGAACATCCAGTGTGTCTGCTCAGTTACCTGCCGGGACAGGAAGTGGGCACGAGGGGGTGGTTCCTCGCGGGAACTGCACTGCGTTACTGAGCCCGCGTAAACGTGCCTCAGTTCAGAGACTTAGGAGTTAAATGAGAATGACTAAACGTGTGAACTAGGAGGTTTAGTGTTTAATTGTCTGTGCAGTTAGGTCATCTCGACCATCCGTGTGCCCAGTTGCTCAGTATTTTTACTGACTGTGTGTGTGTGTGTCTTTGTGTCTTACAGGCTGCAAATAAAAATGGGAAAGTACCACCTCCTGTTCCATCAAAACCCAAACAGATCAACTTGCCTTATTTTGGACAAACCAGTGCGTCCCCGTCAGACATGAAGCCCGACGGGAACCCTCCGCAGTTGTCTGCATCCGTGGCGTCCGTGGGAAATAAGCCCAAGCCCGCGGGGCAGCCGCAGAGGGGCCTGC